GATACTAATACTAGGACTGTGATCAGACACGACCCTTATGTAGGACAATGATTAGACATACCTCGCGAAGTTAACCAGCTCAATCTGTATTGCATTAAAGTGTGATCTATGCGACTCTTGGCAAGGATAGGCATCCGAACAAACTTTGGAGTCCATATTTTACAACTCAGCCAATCTTACTTATCTGCAAAGCATGACTTCGTTAGTAAATCGCCATCTTTAAATACGATTATGATCGTAGAGGGCGCACTCACAATGTCACGAAGATCCATGTTCATCAACACGAACTTTGGGGTAGAAGATTGTACTTTCTCTTACCTTAGCTTTGAGCTAGATTAATTATTCCAGAACGTTTTTTGCTTCCTATATATAATATGTTTGCTTTTTTATATAAACCACTGGCATAGATATAGCAGATTTTTCTAATAAATACTGTAAGAGTTTCCAAAGGTCACAAGACGTCCCATATGAAGAACACATTATAATTAAGATGTGGAATAAAGTTGTTAATAATGTTAAATTAATAAAATATGTTTAATATTTGCTCTATTAGAAGCACGTCTTTAATGAAAGCACACATGTACTAAAAATTGCATTTATTGTATGCTGTATCTTGTGTTAGGATTCATCAAATTTCACCAGAACTGCCAAAATACTACCAGTCCTACATTTAAGGTGTTTTTTTTTAAATACACATACTTTAATTCTCATTCCAAGTAAGCACACATTGTAACTATATTTAGCAGAAATAGACATTGATTACAACAGTCTGAATAATTAGAGTTTCACTTTCTAAGAAAATCTAAGCAGTCTGACAAAATGTCCCTGTTCTAATTGTTGCATAGCCCTGTTTCACAATCTTTAAATGTGTCATCAGAGAACAACGTTCCATTTTATCCAATAATATTTAGGAATTGCAAATTTATAGCATATATAAACACATAACACAGCATTCTACATCTTATCTTCACTTCCGCTGGAAAGTTACGTAGGGTATGGGCCGCCAGATGGGGTCACTTCTTCGAGTGTCTGGGATGGGCTTCTTTCGTGAGCAAAAATATCTAGATAGAGCCTACAATTTCAGCATTTTGTACTGACATTAAAAATATGTTTTTATAAAAATGGAATAACATTTTTTTTTTATAAAAATGACATAAAAATGGTTTTGCCCAAACAATGGCTCACATATTTATTTACTTATGTTAAAAAGAAAAAAGGTTTACATTTCTTCTTGGTTCTCCAGAAAGAGGGTAGGAGTCTTGGAGAGGTGGGTCATCTGCCAATATTATGTGCCATTTAAAAAAGAATGTCATGGTCAAAACCTCCTGTGGTTATAAGTTCCGATTAAAAACGATGACACAGATTAGTGAAACTGCACACGATCATTTCATTTTTCCCAAACAAAGGGACTTACAATATGTCTGAATACACATCAATACAAATATTGATGTACAATGATTTAGTTGTACTTGTATTATAACAAACCGAATACCACACATATATCTTAATAAATTCAATCCATCAGAATATTATTTGGCATCAAGGGTGATAAGTAGCATGACAAGGTCATGCGAGTTGCACCCTCTGTGGTGCTCTAAACCCAACAGTGAGGTCTGATGCCGTTCAGCCAGCGAGGGCAGCACTCACGCCTACATGTCAGGCTAGAGTGGTCAGGTGACTCATTGTTTCTGGCATCAAAGGTGGTCAGATGACTCAATACCTTAGGCATCAAGGGAGGTCAGGTGACTCAATACCTTAGGCATCAAGGGAGGTCAGGTGACTCAATGCTTTCACATTCGATAATAATATGTTAATAAAATGTTTTCCCCGATATAGTAAACAAGACAATATGAACAACGGATGATTTTATTTTAATTTACAGAATAAAAACATCTGACAAAGATTTTACCATTAATTAAAATGAAAAGTTAATGCCTGAAAAAGATTTGTTTTTACACAGAATTTAATCTGATTATGAATACATGATTCTGGAATCATATAAATAGGTTGCATAACTAATAGGTTTTTATAAAAAAAATATGATATAAAAACATAAGATTTTAAAAATCTAAAAAAGTCAGATGTATGGACAAAATCAAAAACTTGTTTATACAATAATATTTCTAGTACTAAAAATGCAAACAATATGTGTCCTCTATTTGAATGACACATGATTTCATAATTGGTGTTCTTTAGTTTTGCAGCTCATATGTGAATAATCGTATTTGTTCTAATAGATGCACATAAACCAAAAATTGCATTTATATACAGAGTAATTAAAATACGACTTTTGACAGTACCGGTATTTGTACCATAGAGTGGGAATCACTAAAGCTTAGCGGCCAAAATTAGATTCATATGTTAACGTTCTGGTGGGATTGATGTGCATTTTAATAGAGAATACAGCATTTCTCACAGTATACTGACTACATTCTTATGTGTTTCTGTGAATATACAAATGTGGTAGTGTGTATATGAGATACAAAATAGAAATAAACATGTCTCGTAAAGATAAATCTGAATAGTGTACAGTTTTCTGAATGTATAACAGGCATGCAAGAAATCTCACCAATGTATAACTATAGAATTTGAAGCCTGTACAGTGAAGAATAAAATTAAAGTTATATTTAATATGGCAGTCATTTACAACATTTGGTTTGGATATTCCAGCAGACTGAATAATATCATATTACATCTGGGGTCTTCCCAAGGCATGAGAGAGTAGGGGTTAACTGTTAAATTTTGGATAAACAATAGAACCAATTTAGCATAATAATGAATATAATACATTGTAGCACAATTAACATATTATATTGTTATGCACATTTGCCAATATGATAAATAATTTAGCGAAAGAAATGTTTGTTACAATGATTGTGAATGGATGTTTAGTTCAATAGGTATAGGACGTGAACCACACAGTGCAACAAAGTTGATGACCATGGCAACAAAGATAATGACCCTAGCGACCAAGATGATGATGCTGGCAAAGATGGAATCTGTGACTGTAGAATAAGAAACAACTTGCTATAGATAATCAGCTTTTTCTGGTGCAAAAAAATGGCACGATGACTGCAGGTCTCAATTAAAGAACATTAGTAAAGATGATGCTAAATTTGCAAAATCATCAGAACGTGCAGCTATTTTAAAAAGTTTTAAAGGGAATGACATAAACATGCATTACTGGTAACAAAGGTTCATAACTATTCTCATTCACCATGTTCAGCCACAATTAAATGAGAGGCAAAGACAAATTTATCACTACAAACATGACCACATGCATTGCACTGGAATGGATTAGGGGATCCATGACACCCCATATGAATAATATACATCATTACTTCCTCAAAGCCTAATGCACAATGGTTACATCGGTATGGATATCTTGATTGTCCTCCCCGTGGGGACACGGTGCTTCTGGTAACTGAAGACACTTCAACAACTTCATGATTTGCTGGACTCTTATTGTCCATGGAGTTTGATCTGGATGCTGGCGACAGTGTTTTGATGTGACCAGATGGTTGTGGGCTCCTATTATGATCTGCATAATGTGATACTGTTGCACTGGACTTGGAGGCTTGGTTGTTATAGTTTCCATGTTCCATTGGATGCTCTTGTCGCAGATCTACCTCAATACATTCAGGATTTTTCTCACGATTTTTTAAGGTAGATGTTATACAAGAGAACTGTGAAGAGAGGGTTTGATTTGGAGAGAAAACTGATTGAGACATATCATTGGTTACATTATTTTCCTGTGCTGGCACCAGTTTATTCATGTCTGTCGTTATTGTATTGAGAAGTCCAACAAGTACAGGTGCTTCAGTGCTTGGAGACGGACGCCCTGACACAGCCACAGGTTGCTGTGGATGATGTTCTATGTGAGAAGAGCTTGCAACATGGTTGACCATCTCTTTACAGTTATCACTACATTGTATCAGTTCAACTGGTGTGGGTTCTTGATACTTCTTGTCATCTGGTAAAGTATACACACTAGAAATAATCGGCAGCATATTGTTACTACTCGTACTCGCAACATACATGTTATCAACAGAAATCACACTTGTTCTTTTCTTCTTATCACTGTTCATTATTTTAGTTGGTTCAGACCTAATACTTGAAATATTCCCCTTTAGGAAATTAGGCTTTCGTCCTGGGCGAGAACTCAGTGGGAAGAAACCATGGCGACGTTTCATATGCATCGTCAGTGTGCTCTGCACCAATGCAGAATAATTACAGTAATTACATTTAAAAGGTTTAATTCCATTGTGAGTTTTACGATGATACCACATACTACTGGGATTAAAAGATGTGTATCCACACTGATCACAGTTCATCTTTGTTAACTTTGGCATGGTGATTTCCTACAGATGCAACCTGCAATATAAAAGACATTAATCACAATGAGGTTTATCAAGGTAATGATAACGTGACCATCCAAAGTTTCGACTTATGTTTTGTGTTGCAATTATCTGTAATATCCACAGCAATCGTGAGTGACGGTAGCTATCATAAAGATAGTTTCCTCCTATTAAAAAAATGAACTCAAATAAGTAAATACACAGAGACTGCTTCAAATAAGACATTATTGCATTAATTGTCATGAAATCAATATTTGTTTTCAACAGAATTAACAGATTTTGGCACATGCTAACCCTGAATTTTTCTTTTCATTTATTTCAAATATTAGTAAGAATATTTCTGCACCTTCACCAATAAATATGTATTTGATCGACATTGGCCATTACCAAACAAAACATGGCTTCCCACACTATACCATAATGTTCACCATGTAGAAGCATTGAAATGGACTTCCAGTACACAACTCAGGATGTATCATGGATGCCTCACCAATCATGTTTTCATCAACATTGGAATATGCAATTATCTTCTATAAAAGCTTGCTACAAATCATTACAATATACCAACACATTGTAAGCAAGGATCTGAGTGTTTTTTTCCCAATGGTTTTGATAACTGGTTTACAAAAAACGACCCAGTTTCAACCTGCAATTTCAAAATAGTGCTGGTATTATCAAAGAACAAATTAATAATATTAATAACTATTTTATTTTTAATTCCTTATTAATAAGTGTCTCTGTAAAATTTCTATCAAAAAATGTAACTTCTGGGGTATGAAAGTTGTACATTATGGTACTGTAAAATACTTTATTTTCGCTTGGAATTAATTTTCGCTATTTTCACTGAAGGAATGATTCAGTGAAAATAAAATCCTGTGAATATACCTTTTTTGTCCTATATTTTACATTCAACTCATCAAAAATCGGTGAAAATAAATTCCATACAAAACAACCAAAAAGTTTTTTCAGCGAAAATTAATTCCAGCTAAAATAAGGTATTTTACAGTAATTAGTAAGCCTATTATAATTATTATGCAGCAAATTAATCACAATATTGACCTTTTTTTGATGGATAAGACTGTATGATAAGCAGGAAAAGTGTTTTTCAGTTCCATGTGATAAACAAGTGAATCAATTCTGTTGGCAAAATTTTGATTGATTGCAGTAGTGTTAGTATTTTTATTTTGGGCCAACAATTCAACATTGATTTCAGCTCTAAATGAACACCAGACACAAGGACAGACTGGTGACCCAAATAAGGCGACCTTTTATATGCGACCTTTTATACTTAGAAAGTATGTAATGTTTGGTGTTCACTCATACACAATGACAACACAAGTAAAAGAGTAAATCCTAGAAATTCTGAAGGTAGGAACATAAAGTGCAATGACTGCGGAAAAAGGGTCGAGAGTAATCCAATTTAAAATGCTTAACACTGTATTTTGATTTTATGACATGGTAATCTCAAATTGTCAATTAGACAATCCTGTATGATATTTCTGAGACTTGATGATCCACTAAGATACTGAAGTTAAATAATCAGCAGAAATGTTTGGTAATCTTCAGCAATTCAAGAATGGAAAGAAATGTTGGTAAAGAGTTACTTGGGGACCCACATCCATTACTCTAATCCTAACCCTGCCTCTCAAATACCCCTCCATTTCAATTCCATATACCCCTGTTTTGGTCACTTATAATTATTTGGAGGCGCATATTGAATTACAATTGGGGACTGGAGTGTTGGGGCTAGGGTTCAGGTTAAGGGTGAAGCAGCTTTAAGGAACTCTTTCTGAAACTACTCCAAATGTGAAAATATCATAAACCGAGGGTCAAGGGTTGCAATAAAATACAACTTTAATTTGAAATTAAATGATATTATGCAGATAGAATGGGATTTACTATTAACTCATTCAGTTGGGCCATGGAAATCTCCATGTTGTCACAGTACCTCTGGCTGTGATGTTACGAATTAAAATGCTCACCCCTCCCTCGCTTCGCTGGTCAACCCACAGTGTGTTCGGCTGTGGCAGTCGAAGCTCTGAATGAATTTCAACTGTATCTAATCTACCGTTGATCGCTGAATATTAAAACTATTACAATTACGCAAATACGTGTGTTGGGAAATATTATTATTGTACTCGGATTTGAAACAACGTAACGAAACCCTATTGTTTATAACTCACCCTAGACTCAACATAAATTCACATTACAGTAGTTTGTTGCTGCTCATTTACATTGAGAGATACTTACCAAACATAGAAGAAATAATCACACAAGAATACAGCCCTGTGCTTGTGCAGAAGATCAAACTACGGCAGTTTGTAATCTTGAATTAACTTGTATTGTACTACATATCCAGCACCGACTCTCTGTCCGCCATCTTTGATCCCACTTTCCAGGGTCGCCTGAGAGGGCGCTCAAAAAAATCCATCTTGCTTGAATGACTAAGTTGTTAGAAAGAATGTTTGAAAAAGTTCTTTGCCAGAAGTTTTGCAATTTTATACCTAATGGCACTTTCAAATAAAATGACTCCCACTGATTAGTATTACAAGATGTAAGATAACTACTAGATTTATTATTTATTTTGCCTCAGAAGACGTACATTCTATTACTATCAGTGTTGTGTGATTGAGGTAGCCATAGGGCAAAACGTGTTAAAAATTGTTCTGTCAGTATTAAATAATCTGTAATTACTAATTGTTAATTAATTACTAACTGCATTATGTTCTGTATCTGCGGTGGTATTAAATACGCAATATGAACGAAAACATATAACACTAATATTGTTGTTTGATATTTGTTAGTTTGATGACAAATAAAAAAACACACCAAATACGCATGTACATTGCGCATGCGTATTAGAAAATGTCATTTTTTCATGGAACGAATGCTCAAATGTGTACTATAAGAAAAACATTTTCAGTTCATGGTAACTCAAAGTCCAATGTATTAATCAGCATTCAGTATAAAACAATAATGTTAAAAATTACTTAATCAACTTTTATGGATTACTAGTATGTAATAGTCATTTTTAAGATGACAACTTGAATTCGACCGGGAGTGAAGAAGTCATGTGATAAAACAACCAATTCATCTGAAAAACTGTGAAAAAAGCTCTGTTTTGAAGCCAACAGTGGCGAAACAATTAACTTTTAATGTTTTTGGTGTAAGGGCGTGACACCCCCAACAGAAGAAAATGGCCAGTCCTTAAGTTGTAATATACTATTTTTAAATAACTTATATATATAACCATCTTAAATTCAAGATATAATGTACCAGCTTACTACTTTCACATAATATCGTGTTCGTTGGGTTTGGAAGGATACGAAACCGCTCGAGCGGGCAATAGTATTAGGAAATAATATGCCAAGGGGCGGTTATTTTTTTTACTCAACAGCCAAATTCTAATGACTCCCAAAAGACCAAAACAGGGTGGCCCAAATAACAACACTTGAAAAAAGTGTGTCGTCTCTCTCTCTAAAAAAAAGAATAAAACCAATTTTTCAACAATCAATATATTCTGCTACTGGACATGCTTTCAAATCATTAAAACATGATTGCAGTGAATTCCAGTGAAACGAGGCATCATGTGCATTATGATTTATTTCCACGGAGGTGTAAGTGAAAATGTCGGAAATTATTCTCATCGCGGTTTAAATATTCTCACCGTGGTGCAAATATTATCACCGCGGAGAAAATTATTCTCACCGCTGTTTAAATATTTCCACCGAGGTGTAAATTAAAGTGAAACTGTCGGAAATTCGAAATGAAGCCGAAAAATACAGCTGAAAATGTGAGAAAATCGAAAAACAGTGAATGGCCCTAACAAGCCACTGTACTTTACTATAACTTGACGTAGTATTTACCTTGCCGTTTATTCAGAGTTATTTGCGTACTTTTCTATGTTACTTTTCGTTCTATTAAAATATTAAACTTGTCAATTAATATACGTTGTCTACTATTTTGCTTTTCCAGTAACTAAGGAATTGCGAGTAAAATATGCAAAAAAAAAATGATTTCATCCATAACTTGAGAAATACTAATGCGAATTCGTTTAAATTTTCAGTGTCATTATTACTCGTGTCTATAATTATAATAATGCAAATTAGAATGCTGTAAACAGGTAAAGTAAATAATAATGGTAAACTGCATTCTCCTGCATGTGTGGGGTTATTTCGTCTGGAAGCGTTATTATGTTCGTCTAGGATTGACTGACACAAAATATAATTTACAACTACTAGTATTAATTCTGAATACACATGGTACTCTCCCTGACAGCCTGAAAAATTAGTGAAATATAATATTCATCATGGTTTCAAACAAATGGAATTCATTTAATTGAACAGAATCTTTTTTTTTGTTATTATATTTTTGTACATGTACTTGCCTTTTTTGTGAAAAGCATAGGGTGGAATCTGAATTTCACTTCCTGCAAAATTCATTAAAGCAATAATAAATAATTAAATATTCATTCTATTGCTAAATACTAAAAATTCGTCTCACCATGATATTGCTATATGGATCGGACCTGCACAATTACATGTGAAAAGAAGGTTCGTGGTGGTCAATATAAACTAGTAAATCCAGTCACGGTGGAGCCAAGACACAGGCCAAGACGACGAGGATCAACAACGGCGCCACCAACGACGATTTTCTGAAGTTTGTAAACTTGCCAGCCGTCGACAAGGAACGGCCAACTTGTGTGAAGTAGTCTTACGTCGACTACAACTTTAGTCGGTTATCCACAGTCCGCTTGCCCCTGGACAATTTATGCAGCTTACAAGGACTTATGATGTCTGCTGACGGCTGTCATGATGTATCACCAAAACCTGGTTCGAGTTTTAAGGTATTGTTGATGGCGAAATGCAGTCGCGTGCCAGTTTTTCTGTGTTGACAATCAGATTCAGTGCACTTGACAATATATTTATTGTGGTGTATCTCGGTTAACGTTCGGCCTCTTCACAGCACACTCACATTATAGACTATATACACAACATTCCACACTATATAAATACACTGGTTATTCGTGACTATCCGATAACATTCTTGAACTAGTTCGTAAATCTTTCAAATTCAAATACGCTGTGTTTACTTTCTTATAATTTCTCGAACCCTGTTTATTTTACGGTTCGTCAACGGACGAGGTACATTGAATGAAAGTGGGAACAAAAAACGTGACTATAAACATTTACGTGTGTGGCTTAACTATCTCGTCCGCTTAGCGTGTGTAACATCCGACAACCGATTTTACTTCTCTCACTGTTCACTTTTAATGCATCATCTGGTCATTTCAGTTAATTGTTGACGGCCAGACATTGACTCGTATATACACGGATGGTCAGGCAACCGAGCATAACGAAGCACACATGCTATTGCCCACTAGTGAACGTGCACCAAATATCGGTGGCGCCTAATATATTTACACGAGGCATGAAGTTAGAATTCCTTCACTCCTTCTTACCATGTTCCTACACGGTGCATCTACATCATTGTTTGTGAAGTCGCTGCTAATCCCATAATTACTTCGATAATGCTGTGTGTGGCACCGCTTTATTTGAAGAATGTCGTTTGTGTAAAGAATGTCAGATCATCAATACGAACATATCATTCAAATTGTTGACAAGTAAAAATATATATTTTCCAAAAAATATGTACGAAAATTAATACTCTATTTCTTTAAAGTTTTTATAGTTATATATGGTTGAGTAAAATAGTGCCTTTAAACTTAAATTATAGTTAAACTTATTTATTGATACAAATTGACTTTGGAAAGTTCAGTAAGGCACAGTTACTAGCCGTAAGGTCACTAAAAACTACAAAACAGTGAAAAAAACGAAAATTGATTAACAACAATATAATACTTATGAACAGATAATTATTACTTAACTAAATAACTAATTAAATAACTGTGTATTACTGTTTGGGTGAAGATAGGCATGGACGTACTGACATGTCTATGGTATAGGATGTACCATGTTGTGTATAAACCGGTGGTATGGGTATACAGACCCTAATTACATGCAAAGATACTAAAAATTGCATAGGTCATCAACCAAGTAACCTCAGCTGATTTCTTGTCAGAAAGTCTCTTCTTAGTGTTCAGAGAGTATGTAATGAGATGTGGGCATTGGTATGCTATAGAGACTATTGTGGCGCACTTAGACCACATAGTTCAATGTGGCTAGTATTAGCATGACAAAACAAACCAAAGAAGTTGTCACTATTATATTAGGGGGTTGACATTAATTCTTTCGGAGGGACACTAATATATACACAAAAATAAAATATTTGTACAACTTTTGATGAGTTTTTATTAACAGTTCTTTGACCTATCTTCCATTTTTACATAACTTAATTTCAACTGGTGCTAATAATGTAGTTAGTATAACTTGCGTATGATTTGTTGACGTTACACCCAGTTTACCAGTCAGCCTTTCTCACCCTGTTGATCTATATAACTTGGTTTTGTTGGAAGTGTTATTTGTCACTCTATTGTGGTTTTGTGCGATTCACTTACCCACTGAAAATGTATTGACTAAGACAGCTTTCTTTTTGCAATCTTAGTGAAACAGTTTCAGAGTACAGCAACTGTGTATCCAGTTGTTTTATTTAGTTGGGATACTTGTATATTTTGGAGCTCAGTACACCTGAATGATGTATGTCAGCTTGTATTCTGTATAGGCCGAGGAGTGGACAGACACCGACGTGACTCTTGTTCTAATACATTTCAACTATATGGATGTTTTTAATGTTATTGTAAGGCAGTGAATTATTATTCAATGAGACATTTGGTTTAAGCTTGCAAGGAGTACAAAAATTCAAGGTGTGTACTGAAGGTATGTAGAATTTAGAAAGCAGCAAACATTCCTCTGGGCCATTGCGGCAACTTCAAATGATGAGATGAGGGTCCCTTTGTTTACCGGTCACTGGTACTGGTAGCAGCTGGCTACTAAACCTCGGCATAACAGGTCTCAACTGCTCTAACGGTTAGATTATATTTCATTTTAAGTCTTCATAATTTTACTGAAATTAACTCTTATACACTGGATATCTTTCTTTTGTTAGATGTTTAAAAGTTTCCAGTGTAACAGTTTTATAAATTTGTTTACCATTTTGCTTGCTATTATCTATTCATCCTTTTGAAAATTTTACAATAGAATTGCACAGTGGATGTGCATTTCATACTATAGATAGTACAAACTTTGAAAATGAAAGAAAGGGAAATATCTGAAGCTTTTATTGCGCATCTGAACAAACAAGATTCCATACTTTCTTCATTGAATCTGTGTGTGGTAAATAATACTTGTATCTGTAACAGTTATACCAGTAGACAGCACACATACAGGTACCTATATAAATTCACAAAGAGATTGAAGGAATGATTCAGTGAAAATAAAATCCAGCGAATATACCTTGTTTCTATATTTTACATTCAACTCGTCAAGAATCTGAAAATAAATTCCATGCAAAAACACCCAAAAAGTTGTTTCAGTGAAAATTAATTCCAGCTAAAATAAAGTGTTTTATAGTACTGTTAATACTTGAATTTGAAATATTTCTCACAAAAGCCTCTAATATGAAAATAATCAAATTTGCAACAGAATAATAACTGAAGTTACATTTTGACTTCAAATCCAACATACTTGCATGTGTGTTTAGTTAATGTTAGTACTCAGTTGTTATTCAGCTGGTAGAACAGTTTGTACAAGAGTGATGAATCAGCATTATCTGTATGTTCGGTTATGAATCATTGTGATTTCTTACTTAATTCTACTTGATTAAACAATACAATATTCTTATTAAGCCATGCCTTCTTGTTTGTGTTTTGTGCATTGTATCCGCAATTAAATTAAATTAAATTAAATTAAATTAAATTAAATTAAATTAAATTAAATTAAATTAAATTAAATTAAATTAAATTAAATTAAATTAGAACATACATCAACAAATAAATAAATAAATAAATTGGCATAACCGGTTTGTTTCACTTCATGCAGTACCTGATCTTAGGTATGCAGTAAGTAACAAGTTATCCAAAGTCACTTGACACCAGCTTCTACCTAATTAACTTTCTCTAACCTACTGTAAAAAGCATCTTTTTGTCTCTTGAGCTATTCTAGAATAACTGCATTGTAACCAGCGTATGGTGAAGTGTCTTTTTGACTGTTAGTGCTGGTACTTTGTATTGAGCTTCTACTATGGAATTTCATGCAATGGCCACTTTTGATTCTAGTGCATTCTGTTTATAGTAATATCAATCCTGAACTACAATGTGATGTTAAACATGTACCCATTAGTAATATATTGATATTCACTATATTGAATAAATACAAGTACTATACATATTTATTTTTTTACAATGGTCTACACTATTGTTATGCCTATTTATATTTATTTTTCAATAAGTTGTCACCTCCTTTTTAATTGCCTGTTTTGTCTAGATATAAAATTTGTGTTCTAGACTAGCATGTATTACATTAAAACAATACTCACTCTGAAATTGTGCTGATTAGATTTCTTTAAAGTGGTTATTAGAGGGATCACTAGCTTTTGTATAATTCAAAGACAAATTTATATTTGTTTTTATTAATTTGCTGATGTTCATTTATTAGCTTCTGCTTGTTTTAGACAGTGTAATTGTGTAGGAAACAATATGCTGTATGGTTGTTGTAGGCAATTAACCAACATTAGGCGAGTGATGGCTGGTTACTGGTAACAGCATTATGTTTAGACACCGTGAAAATTGTGTGGAGTAGTAAAAGCAGTTGTTTTTATAGTTACATGTGTGTAATTTATTTATATTTTAATGTATTGTTGTGTGTAAATTTGAGGTGGAATTTGGTCGTTATTGTTTTGTTTTTGTGTTTTGCTGGTTTTTCAAATTAATATTCGCGAGTCATTTTCTGATGATGAGAGTAGAGGAAGATCTAGTTATTTTTTTATTAGTTGTCTTGAATTACAATTACAAAATCATACTCTGATGCTGGGCTTACTTCACTATTTTCATTTTGTACATTTCACTTTCTGTAAAATTTATTTAAAACTATACATTAGAGACATTTTTTACCAACCATTCACTTGGACGACTTTCAAAATTTGTTTTCATCTATTTGATGTTCATGTCTATTGGTGGAATTTGAATGGCTTGTAGTTGACGTCAGAGAATAAATTAGTGAAATCTATCCTGTCAGAGATAGCAGCTAACATTCCATTAAACCCCAGGAGAAGATAGGATTTGTCAGTTTGTGTTAGTAAATATGTATAGCAGCTTCCAGCCAAGGACTCTTCAACTTTCAACCAACAGGGGTGTTTTGATCAGTATAATGGATGGGTCATCAAAATAATATCTTTAAATATGGAACTGTATAACTTTGATTTGTTAATCTGGTTGTAAAGGTTGCTTTAAAGTATATTTGATGTGTTTGATCGTGTACCATGAACATTGCTGATATGTCAGTCAATGAGCTGTTCTCCTACAGTGATAATGACTCAGACTATGATGGAGTCAACATATCTAGTTTATCTAAACTTTCTAGAATTTCAACCAGAAAGGATGTGTTAAACCGTTACTGAGCGTTTGAACTCTTGCCCAGACATAACTACTTCAAACATTTGTAGCTGGTGTACTTCTATATTTAGAGCATTTTTTTTGAGTTTCAAAAGTTTCATCTTGATTGTGTTGGAAACCAAAGACTGAGAAGAGAGCCATCCAGTGACAAGATATGTATAAGGTAGATTATAGCAAACAGCAGGTTTCATTTTGGATCTTTCTAAAACACATGGGCGGTCTTTCTGGTTCACTGAACTCTTTTAAGATGAATCTTAAGTGTCATAATTTGCTGCTCAAATTGTTCCTTCTCTCTCAGCGGTGTTGCTGATGGCAAAAGAAAAAAGAGCCGGATGTTGTATGTAGGAAGCACCATGTAGTTTTACACTAACAAACTCACAAGTTTTACCATGTACTGTTTACATGTAGAGGAAGAAGGGGGTATACCCTGTCTACTAGTAGCTATTGTTTAGTTGGTGCTACTCTTCTCATCTGAAGTGGGGTGATGTTTTCTTACTAAATTTTCAAGCTGAGATGTTCCTGCACTTTACCAAGCAGTCAGTATAATGCCCAGAATTCTTTGCAGAAATACCAGTTTTGGCGGGAGATATTTGACCTTCACCCCACTATCCATGCAGTGAACTGTCATGTGTCAATTTTCCTTTTGACAGTTTGGGAACACGTTGTCATTATATGTTAATAATAAGGAATGCACTTGATGAATGAGTTGTAATTATACTGAAATATTATTGTGAGCAAGATACTAAATAAAACAATTTTTAGAACTTTCAGATTAACCCATAACTAGCAAACAAGATGACAGTATAAATTATGAATTACTAGCTTTCTTGTATGTATTTCTAGTAAAAATTAAATGCTATTTATCATTGAGAAAGGATACTTTTGTCTGAAATCTCAGATTATATCGAATAATAACCAAGGACTATTATTACCTACTATTATGTTACTACTATATATATATATTATATTTATTGGCCCTAGCAGCTTTCTCCAATTATAAAGTATAGAATGCTGTTACACATTGTTCTGTTATGCCTCCTTAAAATAATCTAATTAATGCTGTATCTTTGATTTTTAGAGATTTCTTGCACGCAGATTGTCTGCAGCCCCATCAATCTCATCGATCTCCACAGTTGGGGATGGTGACAGCACTATGGGATCCTATTCAAGGACTTTAACTGGCATCAGAAGATTTGTCAATGTTGTATTACCCACTCAAGAAGAAACTCAAGTAGCAGTTGAGGTAGGCAGTTAAAAGTACATGGACTATGTTTTGACTACATTAATTAAGTAATATTAATATTGTGTTTACATGTTGGTACAGCTAGTTTGTCTGGACGTCAATAACTGTAGCATATATTAAATTAATGATGTACAGTAAATTCAGAATAGAGCAATATTCAACAAAAATTAAAGATCCAAATTATAGAAAATATATATGTAAACTCATCCCAATCCAATGGAAATCCTGGTATACAAGGTCAAAAATAAAAGTTGAAGAGAGCTTGAAGAAGAGAGTGATAATGATAAAGTTGAGGATGAATTTCACTTCCTGATTGACTGCCCACAAGATATAAAGAAGCAAAGAATAAAGTTATTTATGTCAGTATGAATCTCCCTCAAATTTCTTGTTCAATTTATTACACAATGCGTCAAAGTTCATATATATGAACAACTTGCGGTTTATTACTAAAATGCAATTTAAAAAAAAAATTATTTCATCTATGTATCAATCCAGATTATCTGAATATAATTAATAATTGTAAATATGGGTTGTCAATTGAAAAGTCAGCAATGGGACCCATCATATTGATTTTGTATCAACAATGAAAAAGACATACACATATAATACATGTACCTCTGTCATTTTTGTAAGAGCATGTGCTTCTACTGTACTGGTACTGCACCTGTATGCACAACTTCTTGTTAAAGGTATATAAGAAGAAAATGCCATTGTTGTTATTGTTTTATTCAATCTTTTTTCAACATTGATACCTTTGTTAACTAGTTTTGGCCCAAGTTCAACTTTGGCATGTGCAAGTACATTTTTTTTAAGATATTGGTGAAAGTTCACCTAAATTTGTTTTTCTTGTGGTTACAATAAATCAAATAATTTTTATTGGATCATCTTTAAACTTGGAAATCTTATTCATCGTGATAGAATGTCCACCAATTTCAATTTTGGTGTGTTTAACATTTTAATTTGGCTAAAATAACTCATTTGTTAGACATTGAAATAAGTGCATAGAATGAAGACATGTATACTTTACTACAAGTATTTTAATTTAGGCATCACTTTGGAAACTGATGCCTAAATAAGATTACAATTTAGGTATTTTGTAGTCACTAAAGCCTATTCAAAAATACTATGTTTTATTGTGTCTAGTGTTAATGGGCCGGTAAAAGGCCGGTAAACTTTGTTTCAACAATGAGCAGTTATCACTGTAAAAAGTGTTAAGTACTTCTTTAATCTTTAAAAAAATAGTACTAGTTTCCATTTTAAAAACAGAAACAATACCAAAAGATTGTATGCTACGTTGAAAAATTTACTTCCGTCTGTGATATCCAAAAAGTCACAAACATGTTTGGCTAGCTCTCTGATTGGTTAAATAACCAGCTTGATCTATCAGGTCAAAGGACATGATCCAGGTCAACTAGTGCATGGAAAAAACATGGCCGAAATTTTTTACTGTTAATCAAGAAACATGAATATTAAGTTTTTACATTATTATGATGACCTCATTTCAGTTAGAATAGTTCCCAACTAGATTTTAGCCAGTGGTTTTCATGCAATCCATGTCTTGTTTGAGAACTTTTAATTTACTTTTTAAAGAAAAGATCATACCAGGCAGAATTGAATTCTTATTTGTTATTAGCTCCGCTGTCGACTTTGTCGAGCGGAGCTTATCATATGAGTGATTGTCCGTCGTCGTCCGTCGTCGTCCGTGTCAATGTTTTACTTTTTCGACTTCTTCTTGAAAACTACAAGCCTGAATGCTTTGATACTTGGTGTATATGTACCTTGGGTAGACCTCTCTCAGATTTGTTCATTTCATGATGATATCTTCAATTCTCTAATTTTGGTGAATATTTTTGTCATTTTTGGCTAAAAAGTGATATTTTCGACTTCTTGTTAAAAACCGCAAGTGCAATTGCTTTGATATTACATATACAGGTACTACATGTGGACCTCTCTCAGATTTGTTCATTTTGTAATGATATCTTTAATTCTCTAATT